TCATGAGAGTCACTGACTGGCTTCAATGTGCCGAGAGAGCAATCCCATCTTCGGAGTCGTAATCGCCAATACTTGGCCACCCCTGGCACACAAGGCCGAAAGGGTGCACATGGTGTCAGTGAACAAGCTGTGAGAGCTTCCAGGCTTGCCCTCGCAGACCCGAGACCCTCTGGATCGCTCGCTTCTGTGTCTTGTGCGGTCAGCCAGAGGCGCAGCTGAGGGTAGCCGAACCCAGTTTGGAGTCTGCCTCTCTGCTGTGCTGTCTTCTAACCTGCACGAGTTCTCTGTGGGGAAGCCAGAAAGGATGCTTGGGATTTGCTGTGTTTTATAAGCTTAACTTCAAGAGTAGATGCGTGGGAGGAAGCCTCAGGGAGTCTCCGGGAGGGTCCAGAGCGTGCATAGGAGAGGTGTTCAGTTGGCCCTGAGGGCCAGCTGTGGGGTCTCCCTGGGGCCACTGCAGGAAGCAGTGCTTCTGGACAGAGGTACAGATGTTCAGATTCGGTGGCCCGTGTGTCCCTCAGAGCACAGCAGTGTGCACTGCAGAGATCCAAGCTATACCCTACTACCTAGGTAAGACAAAGGAGCCTGGAGTCAGGGACATAGTTAAGGTCGGTCCTTCCTATCTCAGCATCTTGAATAAGATGCGAATTACAAAACTGATAAAGAATGAAGAGACCAAATACTACTGTGCCTAGGTGTTGTAGTCAGGGCTTGCAAGGGAATAGATTTAATACAGGACACATCATTTACAGGATTATTTTATAAGTCACCCAAAAAGTCAAAAGCAAGGAGTGCAAGAGATCTAACCACACACTAGAGACCCCAAGAATCCAGCTGAGGGCCTGGATCCCACAGCAATGTCCCCCACAAGTCCAGCTGAAGGCCTAGAGCCCACGGCACTGTCCTCCAGGAGTCCAGCCAGAGGCCTGGGGCCCGTGGCAGTGTCCCATGCAAGTCCACACGGAGCATCTGCACCCGGAAGGCCCAAGGCCAGGGGAGGAAACAGGAAAGTCTTTGCCTGAGGGGTGCAGGCTCTGTGCACCAGGCTGAGGGATCTGCACTGGAGCCAGGAAGTGACACTCAAGGGGAAGACCAGGGCTCCCCTGAGAACAGCAGCCGTCCCTGGGGACAGCGAGGACCCAAGCTCTTCTGACCATGAGAACAGCCAAGAGTTCGTATCAGGAAAACCAGCTATGGCAATTTTCTCCCGGAAAATTAACAGCCCACGATCTTCCCCCTCTGGTTCTCCTTTTATGCTGTTGGCGACACCCTGGGTCTTCCACGCCCAGAGCCACGCTGACTTGGTTCAGCTGGGTGCTCCACGTTGAGCATCAGTTAATCCACCACACCAGGGACCCCTTGGAAGATGGACCAACTGAGAGAATCTTCCTTTAGCACCCCTTTTCTCTCCCTGCATGGTGGCCCCTAGAGCCAGACATTATTTTCTTTCTTTTTTGTTCTTCCTTTAACGAGGCATTAATAGCACCACTGCCTAAAGGTTACAAACCTGAAGAGGAATTGTGTAGTTTAAAGATTCCAGTTCATCCTGTACAATTTCCTTTGATGACATTTATCTCTCCTACTGCTTGTGGACTTCTTTTAAGATAAAGCGTTCTTACGCCTCTAACAACAGCACACACAGACCTTCTAATCTCTTTATTAAGCATGAATGGCACCTCCTTGGAAAGTAATAAAAAATGTTTCTCAGTTGCAGTTTTCTGTGGCAGACTACAGAATCGGAGGTACGAATAATACAGGAAGGATAAAGATGTGTTCCAGACACCAGCAGAAAAAGAATTCAACACAAAGTCAGGCTCAAGTCTACGAGGAGGACAAAATGAACTTGGATGAAGAGAACCCCACAGCCACCTGCTGCTGCTTAGCCCACACCGAGTATGGAAGTAGAGAATGTGTCTGATGTGCCAGGGCCAGGCTGACAGGGGCCTGAACACGCTTTAAATAAAGAAAGAAGATTCTACTTCACAATCAGAGCTAAACAGCTCGAAGAGCAGGACTGGGCTCCCAGCTGATCAGCTGGTATCAGTCACTAGTTCTTAGGTCCCATGGGGTCTCCCTTCCAGGAAGGGGTGGAGGGCGGTCCAGCTCTCCACCTGGAAATAGTTCCAGAGAGGGTGAGCTGCCCGGCCATCACCCTGCTGGTCTCCAGAGCACTGGCCAAGGGACACCTGGACACAGGGGCTTTGTGATGGTTACCTTCGTACGGTGCAAATTCCTGCCAGCTGTGCTTCAAATCCTACAGACACCCAAAGGTGACCTTTGGTGTCTTAGATTCTGGCCCTCTCACCATGCAGGGCCCTGTCCAGCCCGGATGTAAGAGGCAGACACCCGCTGGCTCCCCATCCCGCCCGCTGGCCCCTCCCTTAACCGCACACCATGGTCCTGAGACTGCATCGGGGTTTCCACTGTCTCCCTCCGCCCATGCATTTCCACACCAGCAGGTTAATGAAGGGTGCATCTTAAAAAGATATAACTGACTTGGAGTGAAGAATGGTTCTTTAGAGACTTTGCCAGTTTACCAAAATAGGAAAGTCTTGAGCTGAATGCACCCTTAGCCTCTGGAGCACAGGTTGTTCACTAAAAAACTGATTCTTCTGCCTGGCTTACTTCATTCCCTTGGGAACAAACACTGTGGTTTAATACCCCGTCCTCTCAAGTCACTGATGGAAGATGGTCGACCTAGGTTCCCGCAGGGGTGGGAATGTGCCCTGTCATGGCAACACTGAAAATTCATCTGCAGGTGAGCGGATGGTGTAAACAGCACAAACAGAATCCCAAACCCTCTGCAATCCAAGCTGAACCAAAGCAGCAGACCATGCAGTGGAATTATGCCTATCATGCCTCTCCTTTTGAAAAAATTAATTATCAGTCCATGTTTGAAGTACATAATGACTACGCGGCTCGGAGTTGGCCCGTGTGCATAGCACGTTTTCATTATTTTTTCCACCCCCATCTTCCCCCTCCCTCCCTGGTCCTTCTATCTCTCAGTCCTCTTCTCACTTGCCAAGCTCTATCTCTGTTTTTAAACATTTTTATCCCCTTTTCCTCCCCTCCCTCTATCTCTTGTTCCTCTTCCTAATTGAAAAGGACCTCCCTACTTCCTCTTGTTTTTCATTTGGCTTCTTATTTATATTTTGGTTGTCTCATAGAAGAGAAGCCATGTCAGTATTTGAGCTTGTGAGTCTGATTTATTTCACCTAATATCATGGGCCCAAAGTGCATTCATTTTCCCACAAATGACTCAAGTTTATCCTTCATGGCAGAGTAGTACTCCAAGTCCATTTTCTTTATCCATTCATCTGTTGATGGATGCATTTCCAAGGTCCAGCTACTATGAATCGTGCGCCTAGAGACATGGGCTCACTGTGATTATGACGTCTTTGCCAGTGTACAATGGATCACTGTAATATGATGTCTTGAACTCTTTCAGGAAGATACCTGTTATGTCTCTTTTCAGCAAAGAGAGGTCTATGTGCTACCCAACTAAAGAAAAGGGTGATTGTCCTTTTTAACATATATTAGAAAAGTCAGTTTTACACTCTGGTCCTTATTTTATTTTTCCTTTGCGGATTCCTAGCTGCGCTGGACACCGCGACTGGCAGCAGGCAGAGAAGGGGCTCAAGGTGGGAGCGTCCACCGGTGCCTGAGGAACGGCTCTTGCAGGAAGGGAGCTGGCAGCGTGGGCACCGTCCGTCCTGGAGAGCTGGAGCCCCCGGCCCTGGGCAAAGGGCACTATGCTAGGGCCTCAGCCTCCTGACACACAGGGCGCCACTCTGCTGCCCGGGCCAGAAGCCTGCGCCGTGGGCCGCCACCTCCGGGGCAGAAACTGGAACACTGGATGCAACTTCTCTCTTCGGCAAGCTCGGCTGCCTCCCCTGTGGCCTCCAGGGAGCTGAAAACGTCACTGTGCTCTTGGCAACTCACACGGCGACTCAATGACCAAGTGGAAGTGGAACACACAACATTTTGTTCTCTTCTTCTGCCCAGAGTAAACTACATCTTGCTACGTGGGACCGAGCAGCCAGCCGAGACTCCTGGGCTGTAAAATGTGCCGCTAAACTTGGCCTGCAGCCTGGGAGCAGTTGGGCTCTGTGGAATCGATGAAGCTGCCATTTACTGTCAACCAAAGCTGAAGGCCTGGAATTTCTTTTTGTTTTTTTTTTTAATGGAGCATATTTGTTCAACAAGCATTTCTTCAGTGTAAGAACTGAAACTTTAAAGAATTCTGGTTCCCAACCCGGCCTCTCATGATATTTCCTGAGGAGGCTGCATGGCCTTCTTCTACCTGCTGGGCTGGGTACCACTTGGTCCCTGGCTCAGGAGCCTCCCAGGTCCCCTATACTCCTGCTGGTGAGGGGCAGACGTTCTCACACACACGTCCCGGGACTGCAGGCCCATCCCGGGGATGGAGATTACACAGAGCCCAAGCCCACAGGAGGCCCCGAGAGGCCCATCTGCAGCCTTCCCTGGACGACAGAGTGGGTGCACTGGTGACCTCACGTCTGGCCAAATCCAGCATCAGCGATGTGTTTGCACTGAAATTACACTTTTACAAAGGACAGCTGGCTTTTCCCCTTCCTTCGGGTTTATTCTGAGCAGGAAAATGAAGCCACTGATAGCAAACTGCTTTGGTTAAGTGGAAATGAAGTCGATCCAGAATTAAGTGCCAGATGAGAACCTGTTTCCCGCTTTTCTCTTGAGGGGCTCCTCCCAATTACCGCACAGGTGAGACCTCCCAAACCTGCCCCTCTCAGGACAGCGAGGACTTGCGGGCTTTCCTCAGTGACATGCACGTCCTGGTGTGAGAAGGCCAGGGACTCACGAAGGGCCACGGCTCCCATCCCGGCTCACTGTGATTCTGGAGAAACAGAGTACTAGGGGGATGAAAATAAGAAAGGAAAAACAACAAAAACTGAAAAGAAAAAAAAGAGAGAAAGGAAAATACTTTGAAGGCGCTTTTTCCATAGGAAAAAAATATTTTATTTTTTTAAGAACAAATTCAGTTTGAAACAGACGAGGAGTGCGGCTTCACGGAGCTTGTGTTCTGGGGGCTGACTGCGATGTGGAACTAAAGCAGATCGAAACCTAGGACGGGCTATTTGAATAAAACGAAGGGAGAAAAAAATATTTATAACTCAAGCATAATACTGTGTTACTTACAAATTGAACAACGAAATTTTAAATAAATATCCATGGTACATAATTACGGCACAAATATGCAGCAATTTGGCAACCTTTTATACCTTATTTTCCTCTTACAGTGCAAAGGGGAAATGACACTGCCGTTAGACAAGCTGTAGCTAAATACATTGCAAAATTCAGATTTTATACAAAACATCTTGCTTAGACTTTATAAAAAACCAACATTGCTCTATGTACACAATCTGGATAAGAAAAGCCATTTCTGTCTTGTTTTCATGTGTATTTTTTTATTAAAAACTTGAATAAGGCTACTGTAACACCCCAAATCCAAGGACAGTAAATTCGGAACCTATTTACACCTTCTTCACTTAAACATGACGGTGCGATCCCGAAGCCGGGTGACCAGAATACAAGCAAGGCATTTACAGTAACTTTCCAAAGCGGAGCCAACTCCGAATAAGGGGACAGTTGGCGGATTGTCATTTTTTGCACCAGACACAAAACAGACTCACAGAACACTTCCTTTTCTTCAACTGGTGGTGGCTAACTCTTCATCGGTTCATCTGATTTTCCTTTTTCACAGTTTAGCACATAACTCAAAGGTGGCCAACCGGGGATACACACGCTTGATTTCATTAAAATCAGACATTTTCCCATGTTCCTCTCCTCGCCCCTCTCCCCACTCCTACAAGGAACTTCTGATGGCTTACAAGAAAATCTTGTATGAATGCACAGAAAGGAGAGGTTGGAGCGACGGAAAGAATTACATATGTACTGCAGCCGGTCGCCATGGCAACCCTCCACAGAACTATGATATAGATATATATAATATATACTGGAGATATATATTATACATATATGTACACAGGTACACCACACACCCACTCGCACATACACACACGCACTTTGGACCAACATTTTCAGGTTGAGGGCATGGGGAATAATCATTTCTGTGACAGCTCGTTCTTGCAGGTGCTCCCTGGAGGTCTGAGAACCTTCAAACGCTGTCGCTGCATTTTTTTTTTCTACTCCCAATTCAGAAAGCAAAGCGTTACCATAGTAACAGGACTCTGTTAAAGATGTCTGTTTTGCATAGCACATAAAAAGTAGGTTTCCTGTTGACTCTTCTGGTTTCTGGACAGGCAGGGACGGGGTAGGGGAAGGAGGAGGAGGGGTCACAGCTGCTATGACCTGGAGCCCCCTCTGGGTGACCTGCTGGATTTTAGAGAATGTTCCACCCATGAGGCAAGGAAAAACCCCACGGAGATGATGGGTGGGAGGACATCTTGTCCTTGTCAAACACGCTAAGTCACACTGGTTTCCTGGTGTTGGGGCTTTCATTTCCTAGTCTACAGTTCCATGGGATGCTTCGGAGGACTCTCATTTTCCTATTAGCTCTCATTATTGTTATTTTTGGAGTGGTATTTTTTTCCCCGGGAGCAGTCCAATTTTTAAAAAATTTTTTAAAGCACTGAGCCTCAGGATTGCTTAATTGCCACAAATAAATTTCACATCTTCTGGTGTGTACTGTGTGCAATCTTAAAATATATATTAGTAAAAATCTTTCATCTTATATCCCCTGCGTTCTATATACCTATTATAAATACGCCCTATCTTCCTCCTCCCCTTGACATCATCATTGACTTCCGTCTTAAGGACTCTGAGAGGTTTGCTGTGTGCTTCGCTTAGAGCCCACCCTCCCCGAAGCCGTGCGCGCTGGCCGTGGACAGCACCGTCGACCGGAGTGTGTAAGGCTCACGGGGAGGCCGGGCGGGTCTGGGGACAGGGGATCCCACCTGCCTTTGTGTGTCTGAGAATTCGTTACTGACAACCACAGCCAGCTGGACCTTTGGCTTGTCAACGTCTAGGTCAGGTTTGGCTCTCTGCGACTCTAAATGCGCTCCCTGTGTTTCCTAAAATGCGGTAAGTATAGCAGCTGGGTCTGCTTCCACCTCAGCCTAAGCAGACCGACTCCCTAAGCTCCAGAGCTGTGCGTCTTATTGCCAGTACCTCGATAGTCTCCCTGCCCTGCCCGCCTCTCCCTGCCGCCCGCGATGCCCCCCAGGCTCGCTGTCTCCCTGTGCCCGAAAGCCCGAGGGCCCTGACCATGCCCCTTTCCCTCCTCCCAAGCCGGGTCGCGGGCAGCCAGCCCTTCCCACCTGCTCCTCCTCTTCCTCGCTGACAGCCCAGCCGGCTGGGGATCCTCCGGCTTTCCGACAGGAAAAGGGACCCTGCTCATCCGGGGTGGGCCACCCGTGTTGTGTCCCATTCAGACGCAGGATGTGGGGTGAGGGGCTCAGCGGGGTGCAGCGGAGCCCGGGGCACGGGAGTGAGACAGTGAGGACTAAACACTAGCGAGCCATCTCGGGAAGCCTCACTTGGCCCGAGGTCCGAGTGACAAGTCCACATGCCCGGCGGGGAACCCCGAGCAGAAAAGCTGGGTGACGACGCCCGGCGCTGTCCGCAGGCCCTCGTGTCCCCTGGGCTCCAGCGAGGCGTGCGTGACCGCGGCTCGGGGCTTGGAGACGCGCGCTGCCATCCGCCCAAGTGGCACCTGCGGCCACAGTCTTCCAGCTCCCGGGGAGGTGTGCGCTCACGGAGGCCGAGATGCCACAGACGAGAAAGCTGTCCAGCTCCGGGCTCCTCCAGTGCGAGGCTCTGCCCGCTCCACGGCCGGGCTCAGTCAGGCCAGGCGGCCAGGCGATGACCAGGCGGCGGCCACCGGGTCTGGGAGGCGAAGGTACCGGGCCTCAGACCTTGTAGTAAATGTTGGCGGGGCTCTGCGGGGGCATCTCCTGGACTATGTACACCGGGTGCCCGTAGTCCCCGCTCACCTTCTCGTAGTGCGGGCAGAAGACGCTGTCCGCAGTCCTGAGCGGGATGATAATGTCACTGGGCTCCGAGCCGTTGTTGCTGCCGCCACGCTTGGGCGTGGCCAGGGTGCTCAGAGACAGCGTGGTCGTGTGCTGGGGCGAGTGCTTGCGGTGCCGTCGGCGGTACTTGAGCAGCAGGACCACGAGCGTGATGATGATGACGATGAAGATGATGCATCCTGACGCTATCCCTGCAAATAAGGCCACTTCGGAACCGAGGAGGTTGTTCCCCGAATGTCCGGCGCTGTTGCCGTCTGTGCTCGAACCTGGGGACACGGGAGAGGCAGACAGGGTCACCGCCGTCCCCAGGGCCAGCCAGCGCCATGGGGACGCTCAACCATGCCCAGAGGGATGAAATAAGCCCAGGGCGCGACTCATCCTCCAGATGGAGTGCCGGGGACCAAGGCTCCACGTGCCGAAGGGAGAGTCCCCCATGTGTGCCCGGAGCTCCTCTCCTCCCCGACCTGGCTGACCTCGGGCTCCAGTGGCCCCGTCCCCAGTGTTTGCTGGCGGCTGGCTTCTCTGTACCCAAGCACTTGCTTTCCTACTTTCTAATCCCTTTAGAATGCACCCCGAATCTTCCCTTCTTTTCTCCTTTCCCTGGAAAAAAAATCTGATGAATACAAAGGCTTAACGGTACTCAAGAAAATTTAAAAATAGCTAACTGTGGTACTGGGAGACAGGCCTGCAGGAGGGACTTTCATCCATCCCAGACATACGGCTGGGGCAGAAGTGGCCCTGCAGCCTGCCCTGAGCCACCTCCTCTGTGCAGCCCACTTGCACCAGCCTGGAACACGAGGCTGCCCCCCGAGGGCAGAGCCAGCCACCGGACAGACCCTCTCTCCCCGAGGACCAGTGTTACCAGCAGCCTGCCTGCCACGGGCGCCCCGCCCACCAGCACAGGGACAGTGGGAAGGGGTGAGGGCCAAGAAGGTTCAACTCGTAAGTCGTTTGTATTATTTGATTTACACTTAAAATATACTTGGAAGGCAGCAGACACTCACGCTGAACAGACTGCCAACCCAAATGTTAGGCACTAAAAACTGGCTGGCATCGTTATATTATCCATTTATCAGTTTGTCACAAGAATTGGACATATCTTGTCACCGAAAGTTAGAAATAACAACTTCCCCCCTTGACTCTTGGAAAGAGACAGAATACTACTGCAGATGCTAAATTTGCACAACTACCAGCTGAGCACACAGGTCTCTAATACAAAACTGCTGACGTCTGCTCAACAGCCACTACATGAAAAATTCATTAGCTCAGTAGAGAATACACAGCTATTTGCTCCAAGAGTGTTAAAGAAACAAAGTTCAATGACAGTCAGTTTTATCTGCTATTTTAAATATTGGTCAGGGAGCTGTTTAATATTATATTCAGAAAATATGAAAAGAAAAAGACTACTAGCCACTAGAAAAGAATAGCACGATGGAGTCTTTGAAACTGTTACCATCTAAAATTCAGACGAGGGTCAGGTCGGCTCTTAGAGGATTACATATGATTAGATGAGGGATTAGAACATTAATTACATATACATTAACATCAGCTTTAAGCTGGTGTTGACAGTGAGCTTGATAAAGCATCGGCCAATGAAAACTGGTCTGCTCCAGCAGTACTAATAACTGGCTCTTACATCTGATGAATTCTGCTCTTCTGATAGTAAGACTTTCATGGGAATGAATTCATTTGTCTCATGGAGTATAATTAATAATGACTCACTGGAAGTCAAGATTACTGACGTCTAGAACAACTAGTTAATCCAACCGGGGCAGCATTGCTTGTGCCCTGTTCTGCCTCTTGGGATGCTAGAGATGCAGCCCCAGCCCGCCCTACCCCCAGGCCAACTGCCCTACCTGAATTTGGTTTTACAAAGGGACTTGTTGTTGAACTTCTTCCATTTGTACCAGCTTCTAGGTCTGGACGTCTTGTTGGACCACTATTCCTGGTTGATCCAGCAGAACTCGCATCTATATGGAAAACAAATGATTAATTACAGCTTGAAGGCCAATGGTATCCAGCTTTACATACATGTCAAGAAGCATGAATAGCAATGAACGTAAGATTCTTTATGCAAAGGACTGTGAAATACAAGAATACAATTTTCCTTCTAAGCAAAACAGTTACACTAGTTATTTCAGAGGTTTAGATCATGGGGCCATCTGTGGAAACTATAGGGAAGCTTGCATTTGGCAGGCAAAGTGTTGCAGATGACATTTCAATTTAACTGAGCAAGTTGATTGACTACTATACCAATTTCTAATTAAAAGAATAAATCTTTCTTTCTGCACAATAGGTTTTCTCTAAGTGAAAAAGGCACAACAAACACAACTCATCAGAAGTCAAGTTTTAGAAATGAGCAGAACTGCAGAGCCATGCTCTCCAGAGTCTGGGTGCTTGGGTTTTGAATCAGCGAGGCATTTGGGTTTTTAAAAGAAAATACACATTCATCGCCAATAGACACTCTGCCTAGCTGACCTAACTGTGGAGCAATCTCCATGAGAGAAGCTTAGGACATCGAGTGGAGGAGCTCAGCAAATGGGTGTCTGCTCTCACACTGAGGAGGACAGGGAGGAAGGGGGTGCCCCCTCGGTGCCACACTAGCTGGGGGCTATGCCTGGTGACAGTGGCCTCACAGAGCAGCAGATGGTCTTTACCTTGTCCAACTTTCATGAGGATCTTCATGGCTCTTGTCTGGCACACCCCTCCCTCCTGGTTATCCAGGCCCTCCAAAGACCCATTTGATGTAGCTGATTGAAAATAAAATGGACAAAACAAAAAAATAAAGAAAAAATCAGGAAATCAATAAGCCAAGTTTACATGAACATGAAATGTCTGAAAACAATCCGAAAAATAAGAATTTACTCTTAAGTCACACGAGTTTTCTAAAAGTATGGGATGCCGAAAGTCGAAAAGAAAAAGAAAAAAGAAATAAAGAAGAATGGATACTGGAAACACGTACATGGAGGCTGCTGGCCCCAGATGTCCCGAAGCTCACGCCCCTTCCCCTCCTGTGACGGTGTCAGTGTCAGTCTGTAGGTGCGAGGGGCGGAGTCTCCCCAAAGCCCTGATGCTTCAGGCCCAAACGTGAAAGAACCCAGAGTCCAAGTAGTCATCTGGAAACGTCCTAATCATCCCACGACACCTGCTTCCTCGACTACAGATTTCCTGCTTCAACAACAATGAGCCTGTTGCTCTATTTGTCAAGCATCCAAGTTCTGTAAACACCACAAGGGGAGCTTCCCACACCCCATTATTTTTCCTTCCTCCAGCCTAAAACATGCTGAAGAAGTATACTAGAGTACAGGTCTTCCCAATCTGACTTCTGTCCTCCCTCACTGGGGAAACCTCCACCAACTCTTCCAACCAAGCTGTTCGTGGTAGGAAAACTCCGCTGTGGAGGAGCCTGAACATAGGGCCACCTCTTCTCTGCGGCTGGGCCAACTTTGCCTATTTTAGCAACCAGATTCCCATTTCGTCTTAGCAGGGAGGGCCAGGGAAGCACAGAGCCTTTGTACCATCTTCAGTAATTTACTTTTAAGCCAACTATGTTCTATTGAAGCGCAATACTGTCTGTCTCTTGAGGCAGGTAAGTTCTCTGAATAGCTGTGAAAGTAATCTGCAAAGAGGTGGACGCCAGGCACTTTGATGAACTACAGGCTTTCAAACACACTTCAGGATCCAGGGGGAAGAGAAGGGAGCACTGGGACAGTGTCCCGTGAAGGTCAAGGGACAAGGAACAGAAGTGTCTCACATGCACCTCCAGACAGGCACTCCATGGATAATCACATAACTGAAAAATGAGACGTGGGTTTACTTGTTTGTGTTTTTGAATTATCGACTTCTCCTTCACTCTTTGCCTTAAAAACACAAGGTTGCCTCTTCTGCATGAGATGGTCTCCTTGCTTATCTGAGAACTCACTTAACTTTACGGCCACACAATTCATCTCTTTCTTTTGCACTTGCTGACACTAAGCTCTTCCTGGGAAAACAGGCAATAGTTGCCACAGTAATTTGGGGGGTGGAGGTTAAGTAGGCAAGATCCGCTTACAGGCTGTGGAGAATGTTCAGCAGCTAAGTAAGAGTGAACTCCGACGGGCTCTGTGTGCATCTGAGCGTCCCTGTCTGTCCTTTTCCCTCCCCCTCATAGGTGGCTACATTTCAGAGTATCTTTCCCTCCCAAACACTTCAGACAGTGTAGATTTCCACCAGCAGACACTGCTTCCGACAGTATCAGCGCAGCTGTACAATCTTCCACTCATTGTTTATAGGGTTTTCTCACTGAATTTTTCAAAAATTAGGAAGTCTTCTGGCAGGAAAAGGTGGAAAACTGATGTACAGGGCTGATGACTTCGAAAGCTTCATCGGCTCAAGTAGAATCCCCGTTTTAAAATGAACACAAATGCACGTCTGTGCAAAGCTGCTCTAAGATAACCATAATTTTCCTGCTAAGAGTTTGGATACTAAGCTGATAAATGACGAGGTCACATCTGAAAGGCAGGGCACAGAAAATGAGGAAGGAACAGGAATTGTTTATGTCAGCATTGAGGAAAAGATTCGGATTGAAAAGTAGAGAAAGTTAAAGGACACAAAGAGGAGAAGAAGGCAGGCTCGGTGGAGATGAGTCACTCCCAAGCCTAACACCGCCTCTGCCAGGGGATCCCCCAAGACGAGCAGGCTGCTGGGAGTGGAGGGCCGCGCTGCAGACATCTTTCCCTTAGCTCCTAGGTCAGCGCCTTTTCGGGGTGTGGCTGCCTCTGTGCCAGCTCGCCAGGGTGACCCCAAACGGTGCCCAAAGGACCTCACAGGTGGTCCAGTTAAATTGCAGTCCGCAACTTAGCACCCCTGAGGAGAAGACAGGAAGAGGAGCCGTGTCCCTGAGAAGGAAGCTGCTTTGTACCTTTCAGTTTGGCTTCAAGGCCTGAGCCCAGGAAGGAGGCGGACAGGGGCACCGGGCTGGGGTGGCTAGGTGGGCACAGTGGACGGGACAGCTATACTGCCCATGGCAGGCTCCGCCTCTCCTCCCTTCCAGCTGACTCGTTGCCTGCACAACCCTGGAGACACCTCCTGCTAACCCTGAAACAGCACCCACAGGGCCCGGCTGCTCAGCAACGGCCCACACTATAAACGGCCGGCCTGCGTCCCACCGAGGTCACTGCCAGAAACGGGGAGTGATCCACGCTGTCACAAAAGCCCTCCGCCCAGACTTCAGCTCTCCCTGAAACTCGAAGGTAACCCTTCCAGGGAGCCTGACAGCATTCAGTGACTTCAGTTTCATATCTGATAGAAATATAATTTCCCATTGTGAAGCTAACTTCCCTCTTCCCCGCGAGGTTCTAATTCGAGAGGTCACCGCCCTGCGGGAACAATGACCTGGCCAAAGTGTGCTATCCCTGATTGTGCCTCTTTCCCGGCAGTAAACTGGAACGCAGCCCCAAGGTGACTATTCTGCTTTCTCCTGCCACAGGCTGGGCACCCAGAGGCGTTAAAAGGCTTAGCGGCTGATTTTGAAAAATAACAAGAAAATGGCTAATGCTTGGGACTAATATCTATTTCCATTTCAGGAGACAATTTTGTGATTATTTTTATTGTTCATTTGAAAGTCTTAGGAATTTTTAACTTAGAGAAAGAGTAAAAATAAATTGTCACCTTATTACACGGAATTTTTCTTTGTATGTCTGCACCAGCATTATCTAATGCAGCCATAATCATAGCATTACTAAATGGATAAAATTGCATTTAATCATTGAGGGAGAGACAGAAAAAAATAACACTGTTATAACTAAGCTTTTAGTGCCCAAACACTTTTCTTCCCTTGGCTCAAGGAGGAAAAAAATAGCCTTTATAATTAAAAATTTCTTAGGAGAGTTTCTCCATCCAGTTGGGAGGTAGGCTTAGTGAAGATACGTGGGCATTTTGCAGCCTGCTTTTAAATGCTTTTGCTCTGGGGGTCTAACTGCTTGTAGTGGGGAGTCCCTGCCTGGCCCCCAGGACCTGACTTCCAGGTGGCAGACATCCCTGCTTAGCTAAAAAGCACCCTGAGTCCATACTGCCCAGCTGCTGAGCTCACCATGGGTCCCGTTCACTACGGAGAAGGTAAACTGAGGAGGGCGGGGAGAAGGGAGAGAGGGCGAAGGACCAGGGCTGCATTCGGGGTGACAGAAGCTGATCCCCAAGACGCTCAGCCACAGCTCTCCAAGGGGGCTCTGCTGGGTGGTCAGGTTGATAAGAGACTGCTTATTAGATCAAGAATCAAATTGCTCTATCTGGACCCTTATGTGGGTTTAATTCATCACAAAGATTAGGAAAGAAGGCAGCAAAAAAAAAGAGCATTCCTATGATGGACACTTTTTAGGTTCTCATGGAAAAAATGAAATGTTAAGATACTTGATACACTCTGGAGGACACTATTCTGAAACGTAGCTCACCAGATGGGAAGGGCTTATGGGTATGGAACGGTCACTTAAAGCAAGTATATCAAAGTACACGGTCAGGAAAACCACAGAACAGTAATGACAAAAACTGAATCTCCACACAAAGCTGGACTTAACTCACCTCATGCTCTCTTCATTCAGTCATCAAGCAAACGGCATTTTAAGAAAGGCCCATCAACATTCTCTGCTTGCACTGTTCCTTCCCACCCAATCAGCCCTGCAACATGGGTTTCCTAGGTCACGCGTCCCACACACCAGTTTCCCTGCTCTCAACAAAGACTCTGGAGCAGCCAGCGGCCTGAGGAGTGGCGAGGCCAGGAACCACGGAAGGGCCGAGTCCAGTGAGAAACAGGGCAGCAACGCCGCGACCCTGAAGTCATGCTGAACCGGGTCACTGTTTTCTTCCACCAAGGGCTTCGAACCTTTGTGTGTAAGGGTGGGCATTGGGAAAGAAGAAGGCAGGGAAAGACGTGATTGTTTAATATCAATATAGCAGCCAGGAAGCTAACAGCTGGCTCCTGATCCTCATCTCGGTTCAGGTTCAGAGTATGTCATGTCAACGCAGAATATGTTCTAGGACTCACGGTGGCCTCAGGCCTTGAGTAGCGTGGTTATCATTTAAGACACTGCTTCAGTAGAAGGAAGGCCAGGAACATGGAAATGGTAATGTCCACAAGAAGTCAAAAATAAATCCCTGGGTTTTTTTGTATTTGTACTGGGGATCGAACTCAGGACCTTGTGCTTGCCAGGCAGGCTGCGGCACCCCTGAGCTACATCCCTGGCCCAATGCCTGGTTTTTTAAAAAAAGTTAATTAACAAACTATGTACAATGTTCTCAGAAGAAGAGGAAACATTCACTTCTGAAAGCTCCCTTTTTCTGTGCCTCTCACCCTGGCTGAACAAGGACTGCATCATTCTGACCTTCTGTGGGGCTCGATGCTGGCATTTAGCTTAACAGCAACAGAGTCAGCATTGCTTCAGATCCCATGGCACTTCATCCTGTAATACTAACTGCCTTGTCTTAAAGCAAGTGTTACAGTACACTTCTTAGAGCGCCTCAGAAAGAAAGAAAGAAAGAAAGAAAGAAAGAAAGAAAGAAAGAAAGAAAGAAAGAAAGAAAGGAAGAAAGGAAGGGGAAAGGAAAGGAAGGGAAGGAAGGGAAGGAAGGGAAGGAAGGGAAGGAAAGGAAGGAATGGAAGGAAGGAAGGAAGGAAGGAAGGAAAGTACAGAGGAAAAGATTTGCAAACCTCTCCTTGACAAGACAGCTCTGGCTCACGTTTGGTGAGCTTGCTCGGGGAGAAGGGATCCGGGCACAG